TGATTGGCTATTTTGATTATAATTACCCTATTATTGATGAAAGATCATCAATTACTTTTTAACATTGATTGAAAGCCCTTTAGGTCATTTTGCATGAAGTGGGGGGGAAATGAGATTCTGATTGTGTGTGTGTGTGTGTGTAGATAGATAGATAGAAAGATAGAAAATAGATAGAATGAAAGATAGATAGAAAGATAAATAGATAGATAGAAAGATAGATAGAAAGAGATAGATACATAGATAGATAGATAGATAGATAGATAGATAGATAGATAGATAGATAGATAGATATAGATTATAAATATATATTATGTATTACAGATTCTATATCATATTATAAATTGCAGATTCTACACACAAACACACACACACATCCATATATATAGACACATACATACACACATACATATGGTATATATATATATATACATACACATGGGTGTACATACTTACATACACACATATATATACACATACATATTTGTTATTCAGCTTTGTTCGGGTACATACATATTTATATACACATACATACATATACATACATATAGATACACACACATACATATACACACATACACACACACACACAAATAGCAGCTCACAGAAAAAATAAACCTAAGGTTTTAATCTTAGAAGAAGAGGCTAATTTAAATTTAAATGTAGAACTCTTGTCCAAGAGCCTCAAAGCTCCCTAATCTTTCTTTTCCTTTCTTTCTGCACTTTGTTCTCTCTCTCTCTCTCTCTCCCTTGCGTCTCAATTACCAGTTCCTGCTCGTTTGGGATCTGTGACGTGTTCAAAACCAAAAGCAAATCCAACCAAAAGCCGCGTCTTGAAGTTGTCTAGAAAACTTCAGCGTCGGAGCCCAGCGGACGGCCGAGCAGGAGAAGCCCCGCAGGGACAACCCCTCCCTCCCTCTCTCCCTCCCTCCCTCCCCTTCCCCGGGACCCAGGTTGGCGCAACGCCCGGCTGGCCCTTCTGCCTTCCCGGGCGCCGCCTGCCCTCCTTGGCCAGCAGCCTCCTCCCCATCGCCCGGACGCGGTTACCTTCCAGGCGCCGCCTCGGTCGCTGGTCCTGCCTCGTCGCTGTGCGGTCCTGGATCTTATAAGCCGTCCTGACTCCACCTTGTACACACACCCACACACACCCACACACACGCAACTGTTGCGCCTCGCGGGCTGGTGGATGAAGATAAGTGGACTCAATTCCCCCCCTCCCCCCTCCAATCGCCAAGGCCATCCAGTCGAGCCCCTGCTGGATATCCAGCCTCCGGAGCAGCGTCGTCGTGGGACCGTCGGAAGCCTCGCCTGGTCGCTTTCCCGGTGGGATCCAGGAACTCATCCCCGCGCTCCTCCTGATCTTGGATCCGAACCGCTCTCTAAACCTCTCTCTCTCTCTTCCTAACGGATTTCCCTCTCCTTCCCCTCCCGGATCTATTGGGTTTTCCTGACCGGCACCGGAGGCGTAATCCTGCAAGGGCTCCTTTTTTTCTCCCCCCCCCCCCCCCCACACACACACTTGGGGTAACAACCACCCTGCGATTTAGGTTAAGCTGAGACGGCATTTTAAACCAGGTTAAGGAAAGGCGGAGGTGGCGTCTTCACAGCTGGGTTTGGGTTTAAAGCGGCTTACGGGAATCGGAGTGTTTTCTGCGAACTCTGAAATTCAGGTAATTCTGTAATCCAATTCAGCGAAAGTCATGCAATTGGCGGGGTGGGGGGGGATGGATGGATGTGGATGGATGGAGAGAGAGAAATAGAGAGAGAGAGAGATACGGTAGATAGATACCCTAGATAGAGAGAAAGAGAGAGAGAGAGAGAGAGAGAGAAGATACGGGAGGGAGGGAGAGAGAGAGAGAGAGATAGTAGATAGATGGATAAATTAGATAGATAGATAGATAGATAGATAGATAGATAGATAGATGATAGGTGAGAGAGAGAGAGAGAGAGAGATACCCTAGATAGATACCCTAGATAGAGAGAAAGAGAGAGAGAGAGAGAGAGAGAGAGAAGATATGGGAGGGAGGGAGAGAGAGAGAGATACAGTAGATAGATGGATAAATACGATAGATAGATAGATAGATAGATAGATAGATAGATAGATAGATAGATAGATAGATAGATAGACAGACAGATAGACAGATAGATAGATAGATGATAGATAGATATAGGGGGAGAGAGAGAGAGAGAGAGAGAAGATACGGGAGGGAGGGAGAGAGAGAGAGAGATACAATAGATAGATGGATAAACATGGTAGATAGATAGATAGATAGATAGATAGATAGATAGATAGATAGATAGATGATAGACAGATAGAGTGTATATATATATAAATGTATATGTCTGTCTATCTATAGAAATACACACACACACACACACACACACACATATGTGTATATACATACATACATACATATTTGTGTCCATCCCTGGTAGCCCTCTAGCCACTTGGATGGGGCTATTATCTACCCACTCACTTTCACCCAGGTAACACAAGGTTGCCATTGATTTCCCAGCATGGAGAATCCCCGAATTGCTATTTTCCAGAGTACTTTTCTTCACCAAATTGTGGGATTTCAAAAGAACCCTTCCCCGCTCCCACTCCCCCCCCCCCCCACAAACACACACACACACACACACAAGTCTGCGGTATTTATTTTTAACCGTTTCTGCTGAGACGTGTCATGTGTCATGGCTGGGTGGGTGGGTGAGAGTTCTTGGGTTTAATGTTGAAATGACATAAAAGCAAGTTGGTTTGTGTGTAAACGCCCCCTACCCCCTTTTCCTGCCACAGATGATAAGCTGATGTTCCTGGTTAATGCTTTCCTTAAGTCTGCCTAGAACTAAGGAGAAATTCCCTGACAGTGGGAAGAATTAGTCAGTGGAACATCTTGCCTCCAGAAGTTGGGAATGCTCCAACACTGGAAGTTTTTAAAGAAGAGACTTTGTCTGAAGTGGTGTAGGGTTTTCTGTCTGAGCAGTGGGTTGGACTAGAAGACCTCCAAGGTCCCTTCCAACCAGGGGTGGGATTCAAATTTTTTAACAACCGGTTCTGTGGGTGTGGCTTAGTGGATCATGTGACTGGCTGGGTGTGGCCAACTCAACATCCCTCACATCGAGACGTGCATCTCCTCGTCTGGCCTCTCATGACTGTGGGGATGCTGCAACAGTCGTAAGTGTGAAAAATGGCCATAAGTCACTTTTTTCAGTGCCATTGTAACTTTGAATGGTCACTCCACACGAGCAAAGTACCAGCAAAGGAAGAAAAAAAAACTCCAGAGACATTCCTGAGACAGGAAATCTAGTCCTGCCAAGAACATAATAAGGGTTAATGGAGAGGCAGTTTCTGTAAGCAACACCAGAATGTTTCCTTCCTGCCTTCCTTACAGGTTTTGCCCAATAATTTCTTCTAACAACGGGTCCTCCGAACTGCTTAGAATGTTAACAATCGGTTCTAGCGAATAGGTGCAAACCTGTAGAATCCCACCCCTGCTTCCAACTCTTGTTATTCTATTATTAGAGATAATCTTTAACTTAACATCCACAGTTGAGCCCTAGTTGGATCATGAAACGTCTGCAAGAAAACAACCAAACTCAGAGAGCACCAAGGACCTCACAATCATCCTTCTCCTCTCTGCAAACCCTAGGTAACATCACCAGTTGGGTCATGAAACATGTATTCTCTTCTATTGCCTTCATTCATGTTATTAAACTGGCAGGGAAATTCCTTGAGATCATGGGACAAACTTTAATTTCATGTGCCCTCATGTTCCTCTCACATACTTCCAACTCTGTTTATTCTATTCTATTCTATTCTATTCTATTCTATTCTATTCTATTCTATTCTATTCTATTCTATTCCTATTCCTATTCCTATTCCTATTCCTATTCCTATTCCTATTCTATTTAATTCTATTCTAGTTGTGGTTGAGTCAGTTAAAAAAAAATCAAGGCTTAAGATAAGAGTAGAGGAGGATATATTTTTTTTCCTGAGTCAGAAACAAGCCCAAATTATTTTATGACTCTGAAAGAAAATTGTGGTTCATGTGGTATTATGGAGGGGAGTTTTTGACACCTGTCAGCAGACTTACTGCTTCGTGTTGAAATTTGATAGCACGATCTTAAGAGTGAGAAAAGCAATATTGCAAAAAATTGCTTTGGTAGATTTAGGCAGTTTTACTCATTTCTTCATTCATTCGATCAATTTATAGAGCCATCTGTCTGGGCCGCTATGGATAATTGAATTGGATATTTTATTTGGTCAAGTGGGATTAGCAGGAGATTCTATACCATTTCAGACAAATGGCTGTCCTGTCTCTACCTGAAAACTTCCAGTGTTGGAGCATTTACAACTTCTGGAGGCAAATTGTTCCACTGGTTAATTGTTTTCACCGTCAGGACATTTCTCCATAGTTCTAGGTTGCTTCTCTCCTTGAGTAGTTTCCATCCGTTGCTTCTTGTCCCACCCTCAGGTGCTTTGGAGCAGGGGTCCCCAACCACCGGTCCACGGACCGGGACCGGTCCGCGGAACAACTCCTACCGGTCCGCGGCTTGCTGGGCGCCGCCATCTTTTTTTGATGAAAACGTGCTTCCGGTGAGGTCACCGGAAGCACTTTTTCATCAAAAAAAGATGGCGGCGCCCAGCTGATGCCGGTACCGGGCCGCAGCGTCAAAAAGGTTGGGGATCACTGCTTTGGAGAATAGCTTGACTGCCTCTTCTTTGGGGCAACCCCTCAAATACCAAATACTGGAACAGTGCTATCTCTCATCATGTCATGGTTCCTCTTTTCATTAAACTAGACCAACCCAATTCCTGCAACCATTCTTCTTATGTTTTAGTGTCCTAATCATTTCTGTTGCCCTTCTCTGTCCTCTTTCTAGAGTCTTACATCTTTTTTATAATATGGTGACCAAAACTGGATACAATATTCTAAGTGTGGTCTTAGAATAATGAAAATAAATTAAAATAGAATTTGTCCCCAGTACTCAGGTGTCCATGCAAAACAACCAAGAATAACAGCAACAACATCATCAATAATAATAATAATAATAATAATAATAATAATAATAATAATAATAATAATAATAACAACAACATGCTGAACAGGTGCAACCATATCAGACAGGTCTTAGGTGAAGGGACAACCCATTTAAATATGGCGAATACAAGAAAAAACAAAATTTATGCCAGCTGAATTGTCGCCCGGATTAACAAGGATTCCGTTGGATGCCATGGCTCCTGGGCATTCTTTGCAAAATGAGCTACAGGGCTCAGCTCCCTCTGTTAGGGAACCAGGGCATGGGGCGGACAAATTACTGGAAGAAAAATCGAAAAAGCTGGTAGAAAATATCTTGATTATGAAACCTAAACAGTTCCTCCTAGGTCCTTGGAGGCTGTTGAGCTACCAACCAGCCCCAAAGGCTGTGAATCTCACTAAAGATTAAATGATGATGATGATGATACTAATAATAATAATAGTAATAATAATAGTAATAATAATAGTAATAATAATAATACCTTTTAAAAAGATACTTGGTTGATACCTAGGATGTTGGCAGCAGCCCGTATCAACCATTAGCGCCAGTCAATGATATTTGTGGTACATTTTTAAATGTTCAGTTGACTTGAGTTTCATATTTAATGAATAAAAGAGATGATAATAATAACAGCAACATGGATGACTTAAAACTGTATGCGAAAAGCCCCACTGAACTTGAATCAATACTCAACACGGTTCAACTGTTCAGCAGCAACATGAGAATGAATTTGGACTTGAAAAATGTGCTGTATTATCCATGCAGCGAGGAAAAATGAAAAAAAATATATAGAAGGAATAGAACTGGGAAATGGAAGCGTTTGTGAAAGCATTAGCAAAGGATGGCGGTTACAAATACCTAGGCATATTGGAAGCAGATAACATCTTGAATGGAAAAGTCAAAGAGTCAACGCGAAAGGAATACATCAGGAGGATCTACTCAAAGCTGAATGCTGGAAACATAATTAAAGCCATTAATACATGGGCGGTGATACGCTACCCTGCTGGAATCATCAAGTGGACTGTGGCTGAACTGGAAAACTTGGATCGGAA